GACCTTAAGAATTCCTGGAAGGCTCCTGTTTTCAGAAAAAGATGGCTTCTAATGTAAGCCAGACATGGCGGTGACAGTGGCAACAGAAGGTTAGAAGCACTGACCAGCAAGATGTAAGCACATAGAACTATTTCTTCCTTGAAGCTCTTTTTAGCTAGGATTTCTGGAAAGCTCTGCCTGATCTGGGGGAGGGTCTACTCCATTCATTTCACCCTTCCTACAAACACCCCCACAGACGGCCTAGGGGCTTGTCTCTTAGTTGATTCTAGTTCCTATCAAGTTGAAAGCCAAGATTAATCATCACAACTGCCCTTCTCCTAACAGAAACCTACATGGGGGTAGGGGAGCATACCATAAGAAATTTGCTTGATGATCTGAGACTCTAACTCGAAGGCTTAGAGGAAGGAACCAGGTCCTACCTGGCCTGAGTCCTAGTGGCCAGCCAGCCTGTTAGACCCCTCCACATAGGGTTTTCTGTGAGTGATCTGCATGCTGTCCTGTCTTATCACTCTTGGGTGAAGAAAGAATATTAGAAATGTTTAACTAAAATATTCATTCCTTGAGCTTTCTGTTTTTAGAAACCATTTTCCGACTATTATTAATGCATCCATTCCTCCGAGAAAGCAAAATTGATCAGACTTTAAGCTTTATGTTGTGGCACCCATTATGTTGCCATAAATAGAGCGTAGCTGTACTTGGTGTTCCGGAGAGCCTTACATGCAGATTGTTCCTTGGGATATTTTCCTTGGCTGGGGTAATGATTGCATGATTACAGGTCACAACTCAGAAGGTGACATTAATTCTGTGATGTAGAGGTCTTGGTGGATACCGAGTACCAACAGCAGTGTTCTGCAGATTTGTGGAACATCGTTCCCTTGAGAGATATTCTCTGCATTATCAGACTTGTACTGTTTATTGCTTGGCCAAAGCTAGTGCCTTACCCCAGCTTCTTGCTTCTCTGGTGAAATCCCACCAGGTGGTTTTATAAAATGGTCACTTTCAACTCAAGGATGACTTATAAAAACAGATGTTTCACAAAAGCCCACCATCTATAGAGGTAACAGTGATAGGAGAAAAGCTTCATTTTGTCTCTTCTCCCCTAAGTCTTGTTAAAGAGTTTTTCCTCCTGGACACTGAAGCGCTGACAATGTGCTTAGAGGCTTGTTTGCTGGCACAAAACAAACAAATTCTATTATTAAGTAATAAAGGCAGACAGAATTCATGGTATAAGACTTGCAGGGAATGGAGAGAAAGAGAAATTTGTATCATTTAGTGTTCAGTAAACTGTCATTAAACTCATAGTCAAAGGCCAGCCAGCTAGACGGCTGATGTTTTGGAAATCCCACTAAGGAGTGGTCTACATGTCCCAAGGGGAAAGATTTGGAGCGGAGAAGTGGCATGATGAGATCAAATGCACATGTGAGACAGCCCACTGTGGAGCAATGAGAATAGGTGAAGGAAAGGAAGCCTGTGCCGAGGTTTAGGGAGTGCAGGCAGGTGGCAAAGGCGGGAGACCCACAGGCAGTGTCCAGAACAGCACCTGTAGCCGAGTGCCTGTCATGACCTTAAAGTCATATCGGAAAATGGATGCAGACAGTGCCAAGACATACAGAGCAGCCCAGGAAAGACGCTGCGAAAAGGTTCTGACTGTGGGTGGAACCGGATCCTGCTGCCGATTGGGAAGCAGAAGAGAGGCGCCGAGGTCTCCTTTGACTTAGTGATGCTTTCTAAGAGCCAGGCAGCGAATTTATAAACAGAGAAGATGGATAGCGGTGGCTTGCCATTAGAATAGGCAATAAAGTGAGGGGGACGGCAAAGTGAGTTATTTTGCTTTTGATTTTGAGACAGTAGTGACTTGATCATGGCAATGGCAGATAGCGAGAGAGCGAAGATGCTTTCAGAAGAATTAGCAGGGAAGGACCCGATCTCAGAGGCGACGCAGTGGGATGGGCGGCAGGTGCATTGTCATTATCTTGGAGAGGAGGTCTTTCTTTCAGACGGAAGGTCAGGACTGACAGCTATGGATTAATCACACCCAGCAGCACCGTGTCCTCTGAAACGGGCAGCATGATTGAGTGCCATGTGGGAAGGGCAGTGAATGGTCAGGACAGTAGGAGATCTGAATGTGTAGAGTGATCCCTGAGGGAACTGGGGTTTGAAATAGAATTGTTAAAGCCTAGCAAATTGGACACTATGGATTTATCAAGTCACCAGTCCTATGGGCCTCAGGTCAAGGGGTATCTCTGATTGGCGCTTTATTTCTTCAGTCACTTCTTTTGCAAGCTGTGGGGGGCTGTCAGCGGAGGAAGGAATGAAGGGTGCTGGCGAGACGTGACAGATGTGATAAATGCTGCAGACGCACAGAGACAGGTGAGCAGGGCTGGTCGTCTTGCAGAGGAACACTGGCAAGGAGGACCGTTGTAGTCATCTCTGCTTGTTGGTCTGGGAAGCATTAAAATCTAAATTAGTCTCCACGTTGTAGCACATCTCCAGGGAGAGAATCACTGTGCTACCCAGGATGTGTCTCTCTGGTGGTGGATGGGGGACTGTGGCAGGGATGCTTGCTGTGAAATTTGGTCATGAATATATGGAGCCCATAATTTTCTGTTTGAAATAATTTGGTAAGAAATTTACATCAGAAAATTACAGCGAACTGGAATTAAACAGCAATATTAAGCAATATTAAGAACTCAGAGGGGACAGAAACAGAAATCATACTTGGAGCTTGCAGAGTCTACCCTTGGGGTTTAGGGTGGTTCAGACAGCGCCTGGAAGTCCTCTGAATCCTGTTCCTCCTTTCTCTTTCTTCCCCAGTGACTCAGACCACACTGAACTAGTGCCAGGTGGATATCTCCTTATTTGGCTCTTCAAATGAGATTCAGATAGCAGACTGTGGTGCCATTTGCTTCTGTGGCTTGCCATAGCCGAGACTGTTTTCACCCCCACCCCTATTGATACCAGTTTTTTTGGGTGGACTATTCTGACCAGATCTTGCTGGGGAAGGGGAGATGGGGGAGGCTTATACATCCTCCCCCTTGACCCATGGCAACCTCTGGTTTTACCAGCTGCTCTGACTCAGAGCCTTTGGAGTTTCCTACTTTTTATCTTGATTGCTCCCTTTCTCTGTTCCTTTTGACTTATCAGAAAGTTGCCCGCCATTCAGATGTTAAGGAGGGCTCACCATCACAGCCACTCTGGGCTGCATGCTAACCTCTAAGATAGTATCTGTCTGCCAGCTATGAGTTTTCTCACCTCAGAGCTTACAAGGTTTTTGGTTTCTTCTTTTGGAGTGTCTTAGAAAGGTAGAGGAAAAGAAAGAAACTAAAGGTTTTGAATGAAAAAAAAGGGACAGAGAGACACAAAAGGCAAAGGAAACTAGAAGGCCCCTGTCCTCTGGGGATTGAGTGACTCCCTGCAGACAGAGGGATCTGTAGCCCCTCTGGTGATGAAATACTGACTGGCCTGAAAACAGATTTCAATGATGATTTTAGAGCAAGAACACACAGTTATCTGATAGCTTCTGTGTTTTCATAATACCCTGTTTAATCCCTTTAGCTACTTTATTGGGGAGAATTAAGAAAGAAAAACTCTCAGACTGAAGGCTGAGGTCAGAGTGAAGCCCAGAAGGCAAGGTCAGCTCCACTAACTCCAAGGACCTCACTCACTTCTCCAGACTCCATTCTCACGCTGTGTCTGATACTCTCAACTGATTTGCATACAGTCTGCCTGGTTTGTAGCTGGGCAAAGCTAGTTTTGTTTATTAAGAAAGAAGTTCTCCAGTACAAGGAAAGGTGTGTGAGACAGTTCTGTTGGCATCTGGTTGTCACTGGTCCACAATTGAGCATTACAAAGCCATCATAATTCAAAGCACCACTGACTGGGTAATTCACTTCATTAGCGGTGCTGCCTGAATAAAACACACAAAAAACTAGAGATAACCAAATGCTTAGGAGCGCGATAATACATTCGAATACTGCAGGAAGTGCTGTTAGGGAAAGAGTGTGGGGGAAAGGAAGTGGTGGGGGAAGGAAGGTCAGACAACTTGGGGGAATCAGTTCTCCCCCTCCACCACGTATTCCAAGAACTGAAATCAGGTCACCAGGCTTGGAGCCATCTTGCTGGCCCAGGTAACCCATACCCAGTACTCTTAGAAAGCACCTCCGAGAAATATTGTGGAGTTAGTCATGAACTTTCTTGTGTATCTCTTTACCTTCATGTCCCTTCTCCCTTGCCTCTCATATCCAGGGAATAAAGAAATGCAGTCTGTCCTGTCTTTGTCTAAATCTTAAGTCTGTTTGCTTGGCTCCTCTCTGGTGGACCCAGACACAGTGTGTCTCCACTGAACACCATATCCATGACCCTCACTGTGTCTAAGAGTCAGTTAGTTTAACATGCCTGTGTCCATGAGACTGTTTTTATTTCTGAGAGTCATTTAATCAGCATGCATGTGTCTATGAGGCTTGTCACGTGCAAGAGTCTGTTTCCTTAGTCTTTGTGCTGTGCTTGTGGTTTGTTTATGTTCCACTGCTGATTTCTCTGAGTTCATAGAAGTAAGCATGTGGGGCTTGGTACAAGAATCAGAGGCCGGTTCCACCTGAGTTCTTTATGGAGAAAACATTAATTTCCTGTGTCTCTGGGCTTCTTACCCAAGACGGTTATTAACAAAATATAGGCTATTTACATATGGTGATTAAACCACTCAGCATCTTCTTCATTATGAAGACTAACCTGGAAATACAAAAGAAGAGAAAGAAATGAAAATGCAATGCCTTTAACACGACTTCTTTTCATTTTGACTTTATTATGTAGCTTGTAAAAATTTAGACCCACCAAAGGCAAAAACATCAATTTCCTTTTCCAGGGAGAAATTCAATAATGGAATGAATAAAGATCAGACTTCATTTTGATATACACCTTATCAATTAAATCTGATTTTTGTTAATAATCTTACATTCTTTCATTTTAAATCAATCTTTTTTTCATTCTCTTTCACAAAACAGCACGTATCTGCAGCATGAGACGACACCCCAAGTAACAGAGAAATGCAAAACTCTGCAACATGACTTGAAGTCTTTATCTAACAAGACGAAACGGTAAGTTCCACTCTTCCCATCCAATTTCAAGTAAGTGTTTTGAATTCAAAGCGTTCCGAAGCATATTTGAAATCATTTGCAAAATAAGGCTGTGCTCATTGCAGGGTTGTTGGCTCTGAGACTGTTGCCCTGTTGAGGAGGATGGGGGAAGGACAGACAGTACAGAGAAAGACTGTCCCCTGTGCCCTGGCTGTAGGACTCAGTTTATCTGCCCTGGAGCCACATTTATTATACACTATGTATTCTAGCTGGAATTTAAAGCCTGCACACACTTCCGAATTTGATGTGTGGCTGAAGCTTTATCCAGGGAAAAATGCTCACTTGAACAAAATTTTGCTTACAACATCAAGGTAATGGTTTACCTCTGGCCTCAGAGGGGTTCACCCATCACTTACTGACTGGAGCTTACAATCTCCAATTTCCAATAATCTACTACACCCTCTCCTTCAAACTAGGGCAAAGGCAAGCCAAGATCTCTGCACTTGATGCACGGAAGAGGCATTGGTAGCCTGAGAGTCTGGTCATGCTTGAGTCATAGCTGGGAAGACTAACCATGCTGGAGTGAGGTCCTGCACGTGAAGTTTGGAGCTGTGCTGTGCTTGTAATTACCCTTAAAGAGGCTGGGCATATAACTCAAGTGTAGGGGCTTGTTTAACACACACAGAGTCCTAGGTTCAACCCCAGTACTGCCCAAAAAAAGAAAGAAGTGTGTGTGGGTAGGGGAATCATGGGAGGAAGTGTTCTAAATTTCATTTTGCTATGTGCTCGGCTGACAAGGGGCAGGGGAGTGTAACAGGTAAGAGATGGAGCCGATTTCTTCCCAGGAGTGTGTTCCAGGGAGACTGACCCAGGGTCCTTCCTTTCCAGGGAGACTGACTCAGCGTCTGTCTTCATCTTTCCTCCCATTCTTTTGTTAATGTGCCCTCTTGCTTTTCAATTATAACAATGGTGCTGGGGAAGGAAGGAATTGAGCAGGTAATCCATGTTCTCTCTTCCCTGAGTGTGTGGGAGGCTGGCCCGAGAAGAGAAGCCAAGGTAGGTGGCCTGGCCCAGTCTACTTGACAACTGCACCTTGGGACAAGCCAGTTTAGGACTTTTATTTAATGCATCGAGCTCCCCAGCAGGCTGCTTCCTGAGTAAGGTAGAGCTGAGTGTTACCCATGATCCAGGAGCAAGGCCCCTTGGAGAACGCAATGCAAGCTGGGCACTTGGGTATGACAGGGAGATGTCTCACAATGGCGCCTGCTGTGTGAAGACTCTCGTGCCCTCACATAGAGTTCTCATTGACTGTTCTAGAGCAGGTCCACGAAGGGAAGGCAGGACCAACACGGCAACACTTGATGTTCCATGCCTCTTTTTGTTGTGTCTGAGTCTCCTGACTACCACGATCCTTGAAATTACTAAAAAGCATAACCATGTTAGGCCTCTGAGTTGATCCGTTTGGACAGCCTAATTCTGTACAAGGGATGGACTATTAGGGATGTACCTTCTTTTTCTTCAGACACAGATGATGAGCACTAAGCTTGCTGGAGAAATAGCCCGTGCTGTGTGACCTCTCTGCCACAGCCAATACTCTGCTCACACTTGTAGCGCATAAGTGCTCTCCAGCTTTTGGCCATCTTTGTTCAGAAAGTTGGACCTACACAGTCTTCGCCAGCAGGCTCCGGGATCTTTTACTGTTTGCTTATTTGTTGGATTTGAACATATGGGAACACACATAAGGGATCAAGAAGAGGGAACAAGGGAAAGGAGTGTTCTCCATGCAATACCATAATGCTTAATTCCAGGTTTCCAGGTGAACTATAACACAGCATTGGCAAAAAGGATGAGCATGGCTTTAAAACCTCTCTCTCTCTCTCTCTCTCTCTCTCTCTCTCTCTCTCTCTCTCTCTCTCTCTCTCTCTCTCTCTCTCTCTCTCCTTTCTTTCTCCTTTCTCATCCCTCCCCTCTTTCTGTGTGTGTCTCTCTCTCCCTTCCTCTCCCTCCTTCCCTCCTCATTGCCCTCTCCCTTCAACTCAGTACTTTGTTAACAGTTCCTGTAATCTGACCTCACCCTTAAGAAAAGTTCTTTCTATAAAACTTTAAATTACACAGTTTGTCTTCCCTATGGGTCCTTCAGTGGCTCTGGTTTACCGTAGATGGATTGGAACACCTGTGCCAAGACTTCTCACCCCGTCCAGCCCACTCACTGAGCTCAGACTGGCTCACGCATTGTAGATGGTACTTCACCTCTGTTTCCATCCTGTCGGACCTGCTGTGTTGTAGTTTGGCCTGGGGATGTTACAAGGCTTTGGTTTGCATTTCCAGAGAGACTCTCAATTCTAAGCCCTTTGCGGTTCCCTTCACATGTCAGACACATGATGCTAAGAAAGAAGAAAACTACGAGAAGAAAACATTGCCCTTTGTTCCAGCATGCCCCGTAGCAATCTCTGTAGCCTTCCCTCAAATACAAGTCAGCAGACACCCCTTGCCTCTGAGAGACTTTCTCACTGATCTTGTCCAGTTTTGCTATTTGAAGTCCCCAGGGGAAGGATGATTTGTACCTACACCTCCTGGGAAAGTACTGAGTCAGCAGGGAGATGTTCACTAATGTTGATCTGAGGTGGGGGCACGGACGATCTGGGTAGGTAGCGCTGAGCAGTCAGCTACAGCAGGCTAATGAGAATGACCCGGCACATGCTCTCCTGTGCGTATCCTCGCTCTCGCCCTGTTGTCTGGGGCTTGATGGCAAGCCCTTTCCTAACTGCTCTTCTAGGCTTCGCCTCCCTCCCACTACACACACAGTTTCAGCTAGCCCATATAATGAGCCTGTGCTAGGATTCTGTGCAGCAAAGGTCTCGGGAGCAGACACAAATGGCCCACTGCTCGTAAAGTGTTATTCTTGCACACGGGAGACTAATTTCTTTTTCGGTTGTATTGTCTTTTGTCAGGAATTGTACATTCTACAACCAGGGGACAATTAGGAAACTTGCAGGGGACAATTGGGAAAGCAACTCAGTGTATGGTGATAAAAAAAGCAATTTCATTTTCTTAGAAATAATTATTTAGCCCTATTTTTGTCATGGTCTGTTAAAGACTTAGAATTTTCTTTTTCATTGGGCAATTTGTTCCTTTCAGGGTGCTAAAATAGGGTTTAAGAGACAGAGTTACAGTGGGAGAAGAAAAAAACACTCCTTTTTTTCTGCGTAGTGTTGATTACATTTTTGAATAAAAGAATTAAGCAGTAGAATTAGTATAATCAGTAGAATGAGTCTTATGCACGGCAGTCTGTGTGTGTGTGTGTGTTATGGACTTATGAGTGAGGTTGTATGGACATGTGCATGCATTCACATACATATGCATGGAGGTCAGAGGCGGGTGTCCAGTGTCTTGTCAGTCACTCTCCAGTCCCAGTCTGAGACAAGGTCTCTCATTGAGCCTGAAGCTCATCACTTTGCTAGTCAGTTTGGCTGACTATGTGCTTCGGGGATACGTCTAGCTCCTCCTCTCCCTGTGACTGGGGTTCAGGCATACAACACCTCTCCTGATTTTTAGGAGGATTCTGGGGCTAAGCACATGTGGCCTTCATGCTTGCACAGAAGGCACCTTGCCTACATCCCCAGCCCCAAGATGCTTTATTCTCTGTTTAAAACCACGATCTCCAAGGTGAGCAGGGCCTTGTTTTGAGTTTGGCCTCTCATGCCTGTATATAAATTAATTGCTTCTTCAGCATTTATGGAATAAGTAATTTATTAAGTCTGCAAATTAATTTATTAAATCTGCAAAAATATTTCCTGTAAAATATAATCTGTAAATATTAAAAGTTAATCATTCAGTACAGAAGGTTTAACTCTTTGGATGCCAAGTTTCCTTAATGTGGCTCCTTCCATTGCTTTGGGCTTTTGCCTTTTTGGAATTGATTTTCTAACTGATCCCTTGCCCCTGACTGTCTCCTGGTTTCTCCAATATGATCTTTTATACTGGGTTTTTTACAAATTGGAAATATTAAACTGTATTTAAAGTATAATCTTACCATTGTTAGTTTTCCCATTTCGCAAGATGGCAAACTTATTATTTATATATTTTTGCTTGTATGTCTAGAAAAATGCGTGTCTGGCTATCCAAGCTGTCTGGTGTAGACTTCATTGCCTCAGACAAATGAAGGCATTTATCTCAGAGCAGTTGCTTCAAAGGCGCTGACCTAGGTAGAGTCTTAATTGTCCCTCTCTTGGTTCTTTTGACTCTGTTGTTATTAGTCAGATTTTCTTTGCTGTAACCAATACCAAAGACAAATCAACTTAAGAGGAGAAAAGGAACTCTGGGGTCACAGTTTTAGATGCTCTTGTACATGATTAGACAGATAAAAAGCATTTATGCCTCTGGTGGGAAGGCAGCATGTTTTGGCAGAACAAAGCTGTTTACCATCTGGCTGGAATGCAAAGTCAAAGAGAATCCCACAATTCTCTTCAAATGCTCACCTCCAGAAACTGTAAACTTACTACCAGATTCCAAATAGAAGGTTCTGTCATTCTCAAGTGTGCCAAACTGGGGACTGAGCCGTTCATGTATGAGTTTGTGAGATGTTTAACATCCAAATGTAGCAAGTTTTGAACTTTCTCTTCTTTGTGGGTTCAGGAATCCCTCAACAAATTATAGTTATGTTTATTTAGTTCCCATTGTTTGCCAAGAATAATGGGCAACTCTAGTGAAATCTCACAGAACTCAATGTCTTAATATGAAATTCTTTCACCTACTCACAGTGTTCAATCTTCCTTCCTGATGAGGGAGCGCCCATGGGAGTCTTCACACTCAATATTGACCCGGTGATTCTGATAGTCACCTCTTACAGGAAATGCCCTGGAAAGAGAAAGGAAAATCCTGTGCTCTGCATAGCTTATAGGAGACTCCAATTCTACTCACATTCTACTGACTGATTTGACTCAGTACACTGTGAATGGGTTTGATGTGAGGTAGGTGTTCAGGATATAGTGTCTGTATGGGCAGCTGCTTGCAGCAAACAT